AGCACATTCAGCCGAAGTAGCATCTGCTCATTCCGTTGAGCCCCCCGCCCGCAACATATAAAGCGTGATTCTTGCCTGTCGGCATTCTGGGCGACACCCAGGGGGCCTAGCATCTCAGATGCTCTGTCATTTTGTTTCGCACTGAACGCGCCCCCTTCTTCCATGTTCGGAAACGGCATGGCGTCGGCCAAGTCGTCGACGCATAGCGCAATTGCTACTTGCTCGACTTCGCGCGGGGCAAACGGACTGCAAGCGCAAATCCACGGCGCGGAGCCCGCTCCAAACGATTGTTGGAGACGCAAAATATTGGCCATTACCAAAAGATACACCGTGATAGGGCCCCCCGGCACACATCCCCCCCCCGTCGCGATCACCACCTCCCCCTCGCCCCCCGCGAACAAGAGATGGCCGTGCTTGATCCTGTCAAGCATGATGGTAACATCATCAGGATGAAGAACTCCGAGCGCCGGTTTGGTTCAAACACTTCGTTGAAATCGAGAAGAGCGCCCGTTGCATCGCGGGGCCGTCGAAGACGAGCCCCTCCCACTTGTCGTCGGCCTCGATGCGGACACTCCTCTGCAGGAAACTCTGCCGAGCGAGCAGACCACCATCACCGCCCTTCCCCCTGACGTTCCCTCCTTATCGTTTGCTTTGCCTATGCGAGCTGCCGCTGCACGTGGCCAGCACAACGGCAATCGCCGACGTGAACTGATGCGCGGCAAGATCGGCTCGACGAACTTATAGGAATGCGGCGACGCGAGGTTCGCTGTCTCTGGAATGCGGCCGATGCCGCGGCGCACCTCCTCCATGTGCGGATTGGCCCATAGGGGGGAGAAGCCAACGCGGAAAACTCAACCGGACAGCTTCAGGGCGGGGTAGATTTCCAGAGTCTCACTTTCACAAATGCACTATTTCAGTCGGCTGGGGTCTTCCGTTACCTCCTCGGCCTCGACGGCCAGCGGGATCGTGCGATCGCGCGCTCGCTCGTTAACGAGCTGCTGAACTGTCTGCTCGCGCGCAGAACAGTCTCCGTCGGGGCCCGCGCGCGTCGTCTTCCCCCCCCAATCCTGCCTCGTTCCCTCCGCGCGTCATTTGCCGCGCGCTCTCTTTCTCCCCCCCCTTCGAGTCTGCGCCGGAAGCTTCGCCAATCATTGAGCACTGCGAGCGTCATGCCGCTCGACAGATTCTAGATGCGCTCAACGCCTGTCGTGTCGAACCTGATCCCCATCCGCTACCTTCCGCGCTCTCATCCACCTGCTTGCCCTCCTCAGTTCCATAGTGAGCCTGAGCTCCTCCCCCTCGACATCTTCCGCGACAGCGATGCACTCGAACTCCTGCCAAACTTGACGACGTTCAGCAAGCATGCCCGACACTTCCCGAGCACGACGCGCGCGGTCCCCTGTGTAGGGGGGGGGGGGGGGGGGGCGTCGCGCAACAGGCCTCGCCCGCCTCTTGTAGTGCTTGCATCAGAACACTGTTTGCCTCATCGGCAACATCTGGAGCGGGTAAGCAAGTACGCGCTGATACTCTCGAGACAAGTGGCGCTCCGCGTGCTGCAAGAAGGGCCCCCGTTGCCATCGTCGCCGCAGCACCATGGACATCGCTTCTCCTGAAAAGCGCTGCGAATTCTGAGCGAGATACGGTTCAGCGATTGCTTCAAGAAGGATAGCTAATCCAACTGGAACATGATCCCACAACTTACCCTGGCCATGAGCGTACAACCTCCCTGAACTACGGCTTAGTATTCGGCACCAGAACACTTCCAAAACCCGCTGGTGGGGCATAAAAGCGAAGTCTATCACTTTGGACGTCTGACTGCCGCAGCACATGTCCCCTGCGGGCCACGTAGTGTTCATGGCGCACACTGAGTGAGACGCTAGGAGAGCCGATAGTCCCTCCGCTGTTGCACTGAGATCACCATTTCCGCATGTGCCAAACACACCTAGCATATGCTGGAACTGCCCGTTGACATCGCGCCTGGTGACTGGTGGCCACCGCGCGGCTGCCGATGGAAGTATACAGGAAAGCCAAGAAATTATCGCTGAGACAGTCGCTTCCCGCTGCACTGCCTGCGGTCGCCCTCTAGGTTGAGGGGGGGAAATTCATCAATCTCATCACTGGCCTGAGCGCGCCCTTCTCAAACTTGATTGCACCACGCCGGCCCCAGAGACATTTGGGCTTGAACAGGAAGCCCTCGATGCTGGACTGAGCAAGGAAACGCCCCCGAAGCCACAAAGTGAGACCACAGCTTCTGTTGCAGTGAGCTCCTCGGTTCCATCCGAAGTCGATACTCCAGTGATTCTCCAGACGCTGCGATAACTCGACCATCCCTCCTGTCGAACGACGCTGTGTCCCGATCCGCGTGGCGAATTTTGAACGAGATGCGGTTGAACGATCACTTCAAGAGGGATAGCTCATCCAACTGGCACATGATCCCGCAACTTTCTCTGGCTATGAGCTTTCAACTTCCATGAACTACGCCTTAGCGTTCGGCACCAAAACACTTCCGAAACCTGCTGGTGGGCATAAAAATGAAGTCGGTCACTTTGGACGTATGGTTGCCGTGGTACCCGCCCCCTGCGGGCCACACCGTGTTCATGGCGCACAATGAGTGAGACGCTGAGAGGGCCGATCGCCCCTCCGTTGATGCATTGAGATCACCGTTGCCGTACGGGCCAACAACACCCTGCATATGCAGGAACGGCCCGTTGACATCGCGCATGATGACTGGTGGCCACCGCGCAGATACTGATGCAGGTATACAAAAAAGCCAAGACATCATCGCTGATACTGTCGGCTCCCACTGCACTGCCTGCGGTCGCCCTCTAGGTGCAGGGGGGGAATTCATTAATAGCATCACTCGTAGAGCGTGCCCTTCTCAAACTTGACTGCACCACATCGGCCCCAGAGACTCTTGGGCGTGAACAGGAAGCCCTTGATGCTGGACTGAGCAAGGAAACGCCTCCGAAGCCACAAAGTGAGACCACAGCTTCTGTTGCAGTTAGCTCCTCGGTTCCATCCGAAGTCGATACCCCAGTGATCTCTCCAGACGCTGCGATAACTCGGTCATCCCTCCTGTCGAACGGCGCTGTGTCCCGATCAGTCTGGCAATTCAAACTTGATAGTTCCTCGATCACGTCTCGGCCCCTCAGCTGGTTTGCACTCTGGGGGTTGTACTGTGCGAACATGATGCCTCGGCGGGCCGCCGACGTTGGAGACGCAACGAGTGCCATGGCATGCGGCAGGCCGCTGCCGAATCTGCTGAAGGCGCCGTGGTGGGGGACCCGCAAGAAACACGCCCCAGCCCCCGATCCAGAATGGCGCCTTTCCTGCTCATCCTGCTCCTCGTCCTCCTCCTGCCGCTCCTCCTCCTCCTGCTCCTCCTCCTCCTCCTCCTCCTCCTTCACTCTCCACCCTCCACCCCTCATCCTTTCCCTACGGTTCCCTCGTCCCCGTCCTCCTCCGCCTGCTCTGCCTCCCTCATCCTAGTCAGCTGCCCTCCCCAGTCCTCCTCCATTTCTACATCGTCCTCCTCCTCCTCCTCCTCCTCCTCCTCCTCCTCATCCTCCTCCTCCTCCTCCCCCTCCTCCTCCTCATCACCATCGCCATCATCATCCTCCTATCCTTTCTCGTGCTGGTTCTGCTCCGCCACATCTTCTCAGTCTCCACCTCCTTATCCTCCTCCTTACTGCATCCTGTCTCCTCGCCGTGCTCATGGTCGTCCTCCTCCTCCTTCTTCTCCATCTCCATCTTCCATCCCTCGTCCTTCAACATATTCGTCCTCATCCTGACCCAGATTCGTCATCCTGCATCCTCCTCCTCCTGCATTTCCTCTTTCACCTCCCCGTCCTTCTTACATCCTTTTCCTGAAAAGAAAACTACTCCGACATGTCTCACCACGAGACGTGTCGCTGGGGCGGGCCAGGCGTTTTGCCTGAGACTTCCTCACCATCGATGGTCCTTAAACTGAGAAGGTGCCAGGATTTCACGAATGGAGGTCTGTCCGCGTTCGCCCCAGGGCCCGCCAAGGGCGCCCCGGAGGCCAGAAATTGCCAATACCCTCCCGTCGTGATTCCTGCTGCGACGCGAGCGTGTCTGGGGTTGTCCTGGGCCAGGTTGCCACTCTGGCGAAGGGCCACTCTTATGCGCAGCGGACACTGGGCCAATGGGAGGAGGAGGATGTGGAGGAGGAGGAGGAGGAGGAGGAGGCTGGAGCGTCTGGGAAGGAGGGGGGGAATGAGGGGGAGAAGGCCCAGGACTCGAGGACGAGAATCGAGGTACGTGGACGTGCATGTGGCCCGTTAGGTCGCTGAAGCCTCTTGAGGCCCTCCGTTCGCGAGGGAGAAGAAGAGGATGGGGGCCAGGGGGCTCGGAGCAGTAGGTGGTGAGGAGGACGACGAGTACGAGGCGGAAGAGGAGGACAAGTGCAAACCCAAGTTTCATCAAGGATGTGCCCCCTTCGATCGGTCGATAAAAGAATATGCCTTCATTGCAAGAAGTGCCCCATGGGAAGACAAGCGTCTGAGAATCCTCGACGATGCCACACCAGCATTCCTGGGACTTCAACGCCGCGACACTAGGTGACTGCGGCGCCCTGGCAAGCCTACATCGTGCCAGAACACCGTTCTTGGGGCTTCAACGCAACAAAGCAAAGTGGCTGCTGCATCCTGACATTCCTAAATCTTGCCAGAACGCAATCCCTGACACTTGAGCCGCACGAATACATGAAACAGTTGCAAGCTATTAGAAAGAACCTGCGCGACGCTAAGGGGAGAGCCACATGTTGAGCAGGAGCCACCCTCCATCAGCAACGCTGCTGCACAATGTGGAAACGAATGCGCGCGGCGCTGAAGCGAGACCCACATTCTGGAAACGAGCCGCCCCCAAGCCACTAAGCTGTCGCTGATGTTGCGCGCGGCGCGAGGGCGGGAAACGTCATGTGCAATGCCCAGAACACCCTACCGAGACGTCTGGGGGTGCGACAAGGAAGTGCGACTTACAGAAGGAAATGGGATGGAGGAGGAGGAGGAGGACGAGGAGGAGGTGGCCCCCTCACTGCAGCAGCTGCCCTGGCACGGCGGTGCGGTCGGTGCACCTCGCCTGCAGGGCCTCTGGGTCCAGACCCTTGGTGGCCTCGCGGCGGGCAGGGGGGCGGAGGGAAAGGACCAGAGGAGGAAGTGAAGCGAGAGGAGGAACGGAGGGGCGAGGATGATGATGATGATGATGATGTTGTTGTTGATGATGATGATGATGATGATGATGATGATGAAGATGAGGATGGTGATGCTGCTGATGCTGATGATGAAGATGAGGATGAGAAGGGTGAAGATGAGCAGGATGAAGCTGAGGATGGCGATAAGGATGATAATACGGATTATGATGAGGGAGATGATGGGGATGATGATGATGATGATGATGATGCTGCTGCTGCTGATGCTGATGCTGATGCTGATGATGATGATGCTGATGCTGATGATGAAGAATATGATGATGATGATGATGGTGATGATGATGATGATAATGATAATGATGATGATGATGATGATGATGATGATGATGATGATGATGATGATGATGATTTTTCCTCCCACGGCAACAAAGCCGACGACGACGAAGAGAGATAGAGAGAGAAGCCTGAGAGTTCTCGGACGCGAAATGCTGTCGCGAACCAGAATCCACTCCGGTAGCCAGCACCGCGCGCCACACAACCGAAGCCCTGTATCGCGCGACGCCTCTTTCCCAAGGAGCGGGAGTTCCAGCCCGCGGAATGCAAAAAGCGAACCAGGCAAAAGCTAACCAGGCTGCTGGAGCAGAGGCATAGTAGGAGGGGAAGGATCTCTCCAAGACCCAACCACAGCCTCGGCTAACAAATGCCGAGGCGATTCCTGCCGAGTAACTTGGCTTGCCTGCTCTGCTCCTCCTCCACCCCCTCCCCCTCGTTTTCCTCGCCCCTCTTCGCCGGGGATCCCTCCGCGAGGATCGCTTCCCCTTGCCCATCGCGCGTCGCTGGGGTCGCGTCGGGCGGACAGCCCCGGCGAACGCGACTTTAAAGCAAGCGCGCAGGTTATCTTGAACAATAAACGGTAAATCCGCCGACGCTGTCGGCGTGTGGAAGAGGCATCGCGGCGTCGTCGTCTGGCGTGGACCACCGCCACCGCCGCCAAACATTCACTCTCCACCCCCTTCTGCCCCCTCCCACTCCAGTGAGGGGGCGAGCGAGCGAGGGGAGAGGGAGGGACGAGGAAAAGGGGGAGGGAGGTGCAGGAGGAGAGGGAGGACGAGGAGGAGGAGGAAGAAGAGGAGGGAAGACGCGGATGAAATCTTGTCACGGAAGGAGACATACACATTCCTCTGCGTGGCAACGTTGGAGAAGCCTGAATTGAAAGATACATACAAGCTGCCGCGAAACACCCTCGATAAAAAACACAAATCCGTACGGTTATGGCTGCCCTCGTGGCCGCACTTGTGGCGTCTGTTTTCTGGCACTACCATTGATTACATAAAAGGTTATCAGACTAACGGGCAGGACGTTAAACCGAGCGGGGCAGAGAGGAGGACATCTGAACTAGCACGGGCTGCACCTGTTGTTCACACAACAATACCCCCTCGTGCAAGTGTTCAATTTACGTGAGGGGCATCGATATCCGGGAATAATGTAGTAGCCCGAATAATCGTTACCAGTACAGCAAGTGTCCCATTCCCAACGATCGTCTTTGCAGCAGAATGTGTTTGCTCCAGGGCACTCGGACCCGCATTTAACCCACCCGCGATGCACGTAGCCAGAGTTGAAGTTCTGGACATCGATCAACACATCCTCCACTCTCGCCTCCTCATATTGTTTGTGGTCCTGCGTCTCGTTCTTCCGAATGTTCGCGAGTTGCGGTTCGCCTGGGCCTGGCGCCCGTGACTGGAGCAGCCCTACCCCGTCGGCCTCGTTCGTGGCGTCGCAGTTGCGCGAATCGTCATCCATCAGGCGGCGCTCCTCCAAAGTCTCGGCTAGGTCGTCGGCGGCGACGCAGCCGCGGCCGACAAGCAGGATGGCGAACGCTCCTGCAAGCACCACAACGTTCATTGCGGCAACGGCGGAGAAAGAATGGCTTGGTGGCAATGGGCACAAATCACACGTTTCAAACGCCTGAGGACTTGAGCCAAAATGGCTACGGATGATGATGCTGATGATGATGATGATGATGATGATGATGATGATGATGGTGGTGATGCTGCTGCTGATGATGATGATGATGATGATGATGGTGATGATGATGATGATGATGATGATGATGGGGAGAAGGATCGTGATGATGATGACGATCATGACGATCATGGTAACAATGATGAGGAAGCTGGCGGCGACAATGATGGTGAGGGTGGTGGTGACGTTGCTGTTGGTTATGCTGGTGAGGATGATGAGGGTGGGAATGAGGATGCTGATGCTGGTGATGATGGCGACGATGCGTATGATGTTGCTGCTGCTGATGATCATGGTGATGTTGACGGTGATGAGGAGGAAAGAAATTGAGCATCTGGGGAGGAATAGTCGGAGGAGGGGGAGAACAAACTACGAGGAAGGCGAGGAAAACAAGTTCGAGGGCGCGAATCGAAGTGGTTGGAAGTGAGCGGCACTTTGAGGGCTTCTGGCTGGAAGCCTCTGGAGGTCCGCTCGCGAGGGAGAAGATGAGACTGGGTGGCCAAGGGCACGCTTCGGAAATCCTTGTGAAGCACAGCGTCCTGAAGCCCATGCACAGAGGGCAAGGGCACAAGGAGGAAGCGCCGACCACGCGCAAGAGGAGACGGGCGGAGGAGGCCACCACGCCGAGGGCCCGAAATTGCCCGCGGAGAGCGGCGCTGCCGCACGCAGCCTCGGCGCCGCCGGGGGCCACCTGAGCTCATGGCGGTGTTTTCACACCGAGACTGGGCACAGCCGTACTGCCCCCCACCCTGCTGCCTGGGGGCGCCTTGCGCCGTCCTGAATCAAGGGGCCCACACGTCCCCGGATCCCCCATCCATGCACACATGTCCTGGAGGTTCGTCTTTCCCCACGTCCCATAGTTTCCCACGTTCTCCAGGGAATCGACGATCCTTTGTGGCTGCGTGTCTGCTGTTCCTTCCCGACTGAAGGCGGGGCCCCCGCCGCTGCCAGCCCGCGAGGCGCGGGGCGAGTGCGAGGGCGGCGCCGCAGGGCCAGAGCAGCCCGCCCCGAAACGGGGCAGGCCGCGCGGTGGCCTGCGGCACGGCCCCGGGCGCCGCCGCCTTCGCGAGCAGGGCAGGCCCTCCCCGTCCTCGCACAGGATCTGCTCGCCAGTGGCCCAGATCCGCCGAATTCAGGGGACCCACGATACCTTACGTCGCGGCAAACCTACGTCCTTCGGACGTGTGCGAGTCGGCACTTCTTGCGAGTAGTGGAACGCGCTCGGTGCGAGGAGGCAGCGGGCAGAGGGCCGCGGCGTGTAACCGCAGGCCTCCGCCCAGCAGCGCCACGTAGACGGCGGGCAGGGGAAGCCCGGCAGCCGCCCCTGCCGAACGCGAAGGTCGTCAGCCAGGCCTCCCTTCACGAACGAGCCGAGGACGGGCGGGCTCTGCGCCGTGAGCGTCACCGCGCAGGTGGGCGCAGCGGTGGCCAGCGCCTCCCGGGGTTGCGCCAGTCGTGGTGTGCCATCGGACCAGGCGCCCTGCGGCTGCGCGGGTGAGCCAGAACGGCTACTGTGCGGCCATGGGTTCGCAGGAGAAGAAGGAGGATATGAGGACGATGACGAGGAGGAGGAGACTGGAGCCATTGCGGGAGCCGGAGGAGAAGGAGGAGGAGGAGGAGAAGGAGGAGGAGGAGGAGGAGAACAAGGAGGAGGAGAAGGAGGAAGGGGAAAAGGAGGAAGAGGAGGAGGAGGAGGAGGGGGAGAAGGAAGAGGAGGAGGAGGAGGAGGAGGAGGAGGAGGAGGAGGAGTCGAGGCTTCGTCAGACGACAATGCGGCCATAAGGTGTACGGTGTTATTTGTGTTCTCTCTCTCTCTCTCTCTCTCCCTTTCTCTCTCTCTCTCTCTCTCTCTCTCCTCTCTTCCCTTCCAGGCCAGATCCTCTGAAGTTTCTGAGGAAACGAGCCATGGGTGTGCGAAATACATAAGTATATGACCACCCTTCTCTGGTGATTTCAGGCCTGCCAGGGCTGATGTCCACAGATCGGGACCAGCGCGGGGGTGCGGCACCACGCCCAAAGGCCATTCACTCTGCGAGGACCCAGCCCAACACGAAAAGGTAAGTCACGTCTATGACACACTCCTTGCAATCGTCCTCATTGTTATATGTGATGGTCGGATTGCCAATCATGTCATTGACGTTTGACTTATGAAGAATGAGGAGAATGTCATGCACATCCATGACCGGCAACATGGAATACCCTATCCTTTTTAACGAGGAGAAAGACGAGGAGGAGGGTAGAGAGGGACGGAGGGAGTTGCCTTTGCTGTGGGCCACTGCATGACAGGCTCGCGGACGGACAGGCAGACAGGAAAACAGATCCAAATGATGAACAAGAAACTGAACTTGGCATGACGAGGCACGACAACATAACTCCAATGACAAATTACCCTGTGACGTACCCAACCCATTTGTATCAATGGAGACGAGGAGTTGGCCGAAACTTGCATGGAAATCAACTTGATGTGTAAGCTACTTGGGACACGCGCCTATGGCATGATGCGCAGGAGAACCATACAAGAACGAGGGGCGACAGCTACAGGCTCGAAGAGGACATGGGGAAACGGGAACGCAGAGCAGGAGAAAAACGTACGGGAAGCCGAACCATCTGCACGGCAGCAGCAGAGGGAAGGTGACTGCAGGAGGAGAAAAAGGACGAAAGCGGCGTCTAATTTGAGTCTGCGGTGGGTACCCACTGTGCTGTGCCCCTCAGCAGCCCTCGAAAGTGGCAACAGGTTCACAGATCGCAGCCCCCCAGGGATGGCGACGTCTAACTTGAATCTGCGTGTGGCGTCACTGTGCTGGGACCCCAGCAGGCCTCGAAAGTGGCGACAGTTTCACAGATCGCAGCCCCCCCAGGGATGGCGAGGTCTAATTTGAATCTGCGTGTGGCGTCACTGTGCTGGGCCCCCCAGCAGCCTCGAAAGTGGCGACAGTTTCACAGATCGCAGCCCCCCAGGGATGGCGAGGTCTAATTTGAATCCGCGGTGAGTACCCACTGTGCTGGGCCCCCCAGCAGGCCTCGAAAGTGGCGACAGTTTCACAGATCGCAGCCCCCCAGGGATGGCGAGGTCTAATTTGAATCTGCGTGTGGCGTCACTGTGCTGGGCCCCCCAGCAGGCCTCGAAAGTGGCGACAGTTTCACAGATCGCAGCCCCCCAGGGATGGCGAGGTCTAATTTGAATCCGCGGTGGCCACTGTGCTGGGCCCCCCAGCAGGCCTCGAAAGTGGCGACAGTTTCACAGATCGCAGCCCCCCAGGGATGGCGAGGTCTAATTTGAATCCGCGGTGAGTACCCACTGTGCTGGGCCCCCCAGCAGGCCTCGAAAGTGGCGACAGTTTCACAGATCGCAGCCCCCCAGGGATGGCGAGGTCTAATTTGAATCCGCCGCGGGTGCACTGTGCTGGGCCCCCCAGCAGGCCTCGAAAGTGGCGACAGTTTCACAGATCGCAGCCCCCCAGGGATGGCGAGTCTAATTTGAATCCGCCCACGGGGCCCCCCAGCAGCCTCGAAAGTGGCGACAGTTTCACAGATCGCAGCCCCCCAGGGATGGCGAGGTCTAATTTGAATCCGCCGCGGGTGCAGACTGTGCTGGGCCCCCCAGCAGCCCTCGAAAGTGGCGACAGTTTCACAGATCGCAGCCCCCCAGGGATGGCGAGGTCTAATTTGAATCCGCCGCGGGTGCAGACTGTGCTGGGCCCCCCAGCAGCCCTCGAAAGTGGCGACAGTTTCACAGATCGCAGCCCCCCAGGGATGGCGAGGTCTAATTTGAGTCCGCCGCGGGTGCAGACTGTGCTGGGCCCCCCAGCAGCCCTCGAAAGTGGCGACAGTTTCACAGATCGCAGCCCCCCAGGGATGGCGAGGTCCATTTGAGTCCGCCGCGGGTGCAGACTGTGCTGGGCCCCCCAGCAGCCCTCGAAAGTGGCGACAGTTTCACAGATCGCAGCCCCCCAGCTGGCACGCAGCGACGAGCGAGGCAAAAGGCAGGGGGGAAGAGAGGGACGGGAGGGGGTGGGAAGGAAGGAGACGCGCGAGCAGTGCTCTATTCAAAACGAGAACCCAACGCAGGAGGGTTGGGAACTAGAGTCCCGGCTATATCTATGAAACTCAGGATGCACTTGAAGTCGCACTCGAGGCTTTCAGAACCGACTTCACGCGCTCGACGAGCTCGTTCTTGTCGATACTGCCATCCACAAGCTGCTCCACCCACTCTACCATGATCGAGCCCTCCAAGCCAAAACTCGAGACCTCGACTGGCTCCACAGCCTCACCACCCCGAAGGGCACCACCATCACTATCCTCGCGATCGCCGGGATGTCAAGCGCGTACCGGAACAGTATCAGCATGCTCACCCCCACAATGAGAACGACCAGCTCCGCCACGTACCGTATCAGCAGGCGCAAGATCGCCATCTGGTCCATCAATAAGACTGCCAACAGCCGAACCGTCGGACAAAACCTCATCATGCTCTAATTCCTCACTCGCGGCCATGTTTTCATCCCCAACCGTGGCCGTAATCAAGCCTTAGGGCACCCTCCCCGAATCGACCTCGATCTTATACCTCGGTCCGACCGTACTGTTCCTGTATGGGCTCGCTCTTCTTCTCCTCCGTCGGCGGCGGCGGAGGCACAGGCGGCGCAGGGAAAGACACCGACGCTTTGAGGATGACACCCTCCTGCACATCCCGCCCAGCATCCAGGCGCCATGGCGGCGGTGGAGGCCTGACCATTTTGCGCAGCCCAAGCCACGCTCTCACAAGAATGGCCAAGCACTCCTGCCGCTCTACGCTCGGTGATGCTGCTGGCGCACTCATCGCTCATGATTCGCATGCTGACGTCGCACCTGATGTCGATGAGATGTCGCGTATCCAGGAGCTCAACTGAGACCAAAGACGGCGGCACCAGGACTTGCATGCAAATAGCAACCGAAATTCTGCAGTCCCCTCACCACAAGAAGCACTGCCGATATCTCGCACCTCGGCTGCAGCAGCGAGACGGCAATGCCAGAAGCGCTCAAGCCAGCACCACTCGGGTCCACCGGCGGGGCCTGGGCTCAAAATGAGTTATCCCAGGTGGCTTGAGGAAGGAAGGGATGTAGAGGGAGAAGGAGAGGGAGGGAGAGGGAGAGAGAAGGCGGAAGAGAGAGAGAGGGGGGGGGCGAAAGCGAGAGAAAGGGAGAGGAGGAGAGAGGCAGAGAGAGAGAGAACAACACGAGCACACAAACAACAACTGAGAGGACAAGCAAACAAATACGAGCAACATGTCTATGGGAGAAGGGCGGAGGCCTGATGCCGCGCTCTCGGGGCCTCCTCTTCCTCCTCACCAGTCATCCCTTGTCCTGCTCCTTCCCCCTCGAGCCTCGATGCTCGATGCTCGATCCCAGGGGACGACGACGATACCGACGGCAAGGTGGAGGCACCAAGGGGCCTCGCGACAGACCGCGTTCTCGCGAATGTGCTGGAGGCAGGCCAGCCATTTGCGAAACGACTTCTGGCAGCCGATGCACCTGTAATCCTTCAACTTCCTGTCCTCAGCGAGGTGGGGAGGAGGAATGCGTGGAGGGGGAGGAGGCGTGGAGGAGGAGGAGGAGAAGGAGGAGGAGGAGGAGGAAGAGGAAGCGGACAAGGAGAGGGAAGAGCAGAAAGATGTGTTCGACGGTTTCTCCCCTCCCCCGCCCCCACACCCGCATATATGTGTCTTGGGTCCTCGTTGTCTCTCAGCAGGCCCTCTCGCCCCACCTCCGCCCCCACCTCGCTCTTTCCAATCCTTCCCCTCCTCCTCCTCCTTCTCCTCCTCCTCCTCATCATCATCCTCCTTCTCAGCATCGCAATCATCACAAGCATCAGCAGCAGCATCATCATAAGCAACATCATCATCATCATCATCATCATCATCATCATCATCATCATCATCATCATCATCATCTTCATCATCAGCAGCATCAACATCATCAACAGCAGCATCATCAGCAACAGCATCATCAGCAACAGCAGCAGCCTCATCATCAGCATCACCAGCACCAGCACCAGCATCAGCATCAGCATCAGCATCAGCATCATCGTCATCATGATCATCGTCATCATGGTTATCATCCTCATCATCAGCAGCAGCATCATCATCAGCATCATCATCGTTTTCAGCATCAGCATCATCAAGAGCATCATCATCATTAACATCATCCTCATCATCATCATCTTCATATGCATCATCAGCATCAGTATCAGCATCGTCGTCGTCAGTATTGGCAGTAACATCTGTATCATAATCGTCATCACCACCAACATTGCAATAATCATCATCATCACCATCACCACCATCAGCATCATTCACATCAGCATCATCCGCATCAACATCATACTCATCAACACCAACGTCATCACCATCATCATCACCATCACCATCAGCATCATCATCAGCATCAGTATCACCATCATCATCAGCATCACCACCAGCATCGCCACCACCACCAACACCACCACAATCCCCATCACAACCACCATTACCATCCTCCTCCCTCGGCGACATCTCCTCCTCCTCCTCCACCACCTCCTCATCCTCATCCTCCGAGCCTCCTCCACCTCCTCCCCCTCCTCCTCCTCCGTTTCCTTCTCATCCTCGACATCATCCCTTGTCGACGTCTTCGTCGCGCCGTCGAGGCCGTCGTCGTCGGTGCCGCGACGTCTCCGTCTCCCCCCAGCCGGGGTCTCCTGGAGCCAGGCCAACTCGGGGGCGATGGCGGCGTCCAGCTCCCCATTGTCAATTTTTGGCCTGCCCTCCTGGGGGGGGAGGGAGGGAGACGAGGAATAGGAGGAGGAGGAGGAGGAGGAGGAGGAGGAGGAGGAGGAGAAGGAGGAGGAGAAGAAGGAGGAGGAGGAGGAGGAAGAGGCGGAGGAGGAGGAGGAGCAGGAGGAGAGGAGAAGCAGGAGGAGGAGGAGGAGGAGGAGGCGGAGGAGGAGGAGGAGGAGGAGGAGGCGGAGGCGGAGGAGGGGGAGGAGGAGGAGGAGGAGGAGCCGCCGCTGGGGGAAGGACTCGGCGGCGCCAGGGAGCCAGAAGCGCCGCGGACCGAGGCGGGGCCGCGCCGTCGGCGCGCCGCGCCCCCGGCAGGAGCGGCGGCGAGGGGGCGGGCGGTAGCGCCGCGGAGGTCCACGGGCGGAGGGCGGCGGAGGGCCCGCAGAAGTGCAAGCGGACTGAGTCGGCTACGCTGGGGATCCACCGAAAGGTGGCGTGCGGTCCTCGTTTACCAGCCTCGAACGTATCCCTATCCCTAAGGCTGACACGCCAAAAGGCGAGGCCAGTCTTAGGGGTTCGCCCTGAAAAACTAAGGGAATCCCTAAGATCGGCATCGTGATGAGGAGGTGCCCAGCATAGGGATAGGGATATGTTCCAGGCTGGTAATTCGTTCCGCCTCTGCCGCAAAACGACATCGAGACGAACACGGCCCACGAGATCGCCAAAAACACCGCTCGGGTCGAATCCTGGAGCGCGTGCAGGTGCATTTCGCATGTGTGCCTTTATCGGGAGCGGCCAAGAGGGGGGTGTCCAAGAGGGGGGGGTGCAAATCATGACCGGCGGCATGTGCGCGGCCCAGCGGGGGGGGCCAGGGCCGTAATGAAATAAAAAGAGGCGCCATGAAATCTAGGGAAGTATCATGGCCCCCGCCATGATATCCACCCCCCCCTAGTCATCACCCCCCTCTTTTCCGCCCCCGACTTTAGGGGATCCACCAAAGAAGGGCGGGGGGCGGGAACCCTGAGAGGGGGGGGCATGAGTTCGATTCGCTGGTGCACCGCACTGCCGCAAGCAGATGCCCCGCGCGCGCCCCGCCCGTCGGCAACTGTCGGGAGCTGCCGGGCATCTGCTTTGGGCGGCTGGGGCGAAAACCCGATGTAACACACACACACACACACCACAACAACAACACCAACACCAACAACAACAACAACAACAACAACAACAACAACAACAACAACAACAGCAACAGCAACAGCAACAGCAACAGCAACAGCAACAGCAACAGCAACAGCAACAGCAACAACAACAACAACAACAACAACAACACACACACAGCCAGGGCACTTACCCCCTTTGCAGGATCCCGACACGTGAGCGCCAATACAGTGAGGGCAGATAAGACCACGGGCGGGCGTTGCACGTATTCGCCCAGGGAGCCTTGTCGCAGACATGGGCAACCGGAGGCTCTGGACACATGTACTGCTCTCCCCGGGGCTGTTCGCCCTTGTCGTCGGCTTCGAACTTCTTCTCTCGGATGGGGCGAAAGGGGGGTCATGGTGAGGGCATCGGGTGAGGAACCATTGGAGAAGCAAGCCAGGGTCTGGAGGCAGGCGGAACGCCACTCGAGGCCTGACCATGGACATCACCTCCGCCCTCACCCGAGAAGCAGTCCTGCAGGGTCTGAAACCTCCTGGGCACATTCCTGACTGAACGCCCAAGCCGCAAGAGAAGAGTCTTACTCGGGAGCGGCCAAGAGGGGGGTGTCCAAAAGGGGGGGGGTGCAAATCATGACCGGCGGCATGTGCGCGGCCCAGAGGGGGGGGCCAGGGACGTCATGAAACAATAAGGGGCGCCATAAGATCTGGGGAAATATCATGGCCCACGCCATGATATCCCCCCCCCCTGGTCATCACCCCCCTCTTTTCCGCCCCCGACTGCACGCGAGACGACACGGCGGGGACCGGAAGCCCCGAGCCCCAAAACGGTCGACACGTCCCTTTGGCGGGCTGGTCTGCTGCCGCCGCGCCGAGCTGCCGCGCTGCCGCCGGCCGAGCCCCCCGCGCTGCGCTTTCTGCCGCGCGTCGTCCGCGGGGCTTCCGCCGAGGAGGAGATGACAGCGTTGGGGCGCCCAGGGCGGGCACAGTATTCGGCCTGACCTAAGGAACGATAAATCAGGAACGGAGCCCCTTTTTTTAACCAAGTGAGTCTAGGAAGTCCGAAGGAGCACCGGGGGCTCGCCGCCAAAGAGGTGACGGAGCGCATGCAGACCAAAGGAACGACCGAGCCCCCTCTGAAAAGTAAATGTTCCTTATTCAAGCCGGGCCCTGTACGGAAACACGGACACTGTGCCCGACAACAGACGTTGTCTAATGCCGACCGCGGCCGCTGTCGGGCATCGCGCGAGCTCCTGCCTCACATGGACCACGTCCACGGCGACACCGACAGCGCGTCCTGCTCAGAATGGGCAGGGACCTCTGTCGTTCTCCGCACCCACCCTGTCTGTACAGCCGACGACACGGGCAAGACAGTTCTCGTGCAAGAAAGCTGGACCAGCCCCCCGAGAAGCCTCTCGAAACACGCCTGGGCCAACATCTGCTGCTGGCCCTGAGGGGCGAGCATATGCTCAAGAAGCCGGGCCAGCCCTCCGGCAAGCTGGCCGAGCAACGCCAGCCCAGCTTTCCGGGAGGAGGCCTCCTGCTCGGAGGTCCGACTGCCCCCCGTGGTCCGCCGTGCCGATCAGCTCCTCCCTGGAGCGAGGAAGAGGAGGAGGAGGAGGAGGAGGAGGAGGAGGAGGAGGAGGAGGAGGAGGAGGGAGGAGGAGGAGGAGGGGAGGAGAGGAGGAGGGAGGAGGAGGAGGAGGACGAGGAGGAGGAGAAGGAGGAGGAGGAGGAGGAGGGGGAGGAGGAGCACCACCCGAGTTAGCGCAGCAGGAGGTCGGATACGGCCGAGGACCGCCCCGCTAAGCACCGCGCTCTGCCCTTGAAGACCTGGTGGGCGAAGGCCCTGTCCTGCCTCCCTTGTCGGCGGCAGCTGTTGAAAGAGGTAAATAAGATGTCAGCGGCAACGGCACAGGCATGCATGTATTCAGAAGCGCGATGGCAGAGGGTGGAAGACGGCCAAAGATGAGGCAGAAAACAAAATGGAGCCCAGTATCCCCATTCTGGGGGTAGCGATGGCACCAGCTGACGAATTGCAGGAGTAGCAATAGGGCACGTGAAGTAGTGTGCTATGTTGTCGGCTCCTAGATTACAGCACCCAAACACACATGCGCCAGTGGTTTGTCTAAATCTCCTAGTCGTCGGCCAGGCATTGAACACGGTTTTAATTAAGGAGGTCAGGATAAAGCTAGGCAACTTTTTGCTCAGGACATTAAATCGAAGCACAACAAGGTCAGCATCGGCACGAGTAGCACTGGGCATCCAATACTTGACACGCGCATGCACAAGATGGTTTGCATATACATGTGGACGCTGCTCGATCAGGAATTTGGTGATGGAGCTCTGGAGCGACTTCGGGGGGCAATCCATGGGGGCCCTGGGGATAGCGACATAGTTGTTATACACCTTTCTCATTTTCCCGAAGATGGACTGTTCGAAGAAGGTATTAAGCCTGTACGCGGGTACGTGTTCGTCATCCTCGAGGGCAGCCTGGAAGCACACTTGCATCGCGTCAAACTGCTTAGACCGAATGGCTGTCCTAAGCATCGATGCCCTGCACAATATCTCTACCGATCGGCACTCGAGGGGAAGCCCCAGATCCTTCAGGTGGAACATGCTTTTGGGCGGAAAGGAGTGACGAGGAGCACGGGGCAGAAGCTGGTGCGCCTCCCTCTCGCACCGCAGCAGGGTCGAGGTCGGCGGGTAAAACTGCCCAACATGGGAGACGACCGGCAGCGCATACGTGTTATACCCCTGGATGGACTGGATGAAACTAAGGCCTAATCTCCTCACATCCTCGGTCCTCGCCCTGAGCTTCTTGGTAACTTCAAACCACCCCTCCGTGAAAGCATCGTACCCAACCAATATCCCAAGGAGCTTCCCAGACTTCCGAATCTTATAATCAGAAACATCAAGCCCTTGAACAGAAAATCCTTCCTGGATGCTCTTGGACCCCTCGAGGTGGAGCATTACTATCACACACTTGCTGTTGTTGAGCACTAGCCCCGTGATACACGAGGAAGAGGCCAATCTCTCAACAACTTCTGGCAGAGCCCTGAACCGATTTCTTGCGACAAGGTAGAAATCGTCCGCAAAGGCACCAATTTCGAAACCCAATGTCGGCTTCAGCTGCACAAGGTAGCGGAGCAGCGGGTCGGCAACCAGCGCGAACAGGACACCACTCAGGGGACACCCCTGCTTCATCCCCCTCCTCGCCCAATATCCGTGATTCTCCCCAATGGTGATTACCGTCCACACCTTATCATATAAAGAGGTAATGGCAGAGACCAAGAAGGTGGGGAGACACATGGAGCCCAAGACCCTCATGATCCAGTCCTGGTTAACGCTCGGGAAGGCATTCTTAAAGTCGAAGAGTGTGAAGCCGCACATGGGCTCCTTAAACACCGTGCCCCACAATGTCAGCATCCCGTCCATGTTGATAATATTGTCATTCATCATCCTCCCCCTCACGAACCCTCTCTGAATTTCGTGGCACTTGTCAGCAGCAACTTCATTCAATACCGAAGCGATGGCGGCACTCACTAGCTTGTTATCTGTGTTAGATAGAGATAAAGGACGAACGGCAGCTGGATCTCGTACTTCCCCCCCTCCATCCTCCAGATCACCTTTAGGTAGGAATACCGCACGACATGTATTGAAACCGTCCAACAGTTGGCCTCCAGCCAAGAGATACCTGTACAACTGGTAGAGGGCAGCTTGCGCGCGCTGGCCAGAGCACTGCCAGGCCGAGTAGGGGACACCGTCAGGTCCCGAGGCAGAGTCCCTCTTGGAGGCAAGGAGGCAAAGGAACTGCTCCTCCGATATTATCCTATCATATCTCTGATAAGTATTGTTCACGAACTGTTCCCCCCCCCCCGTCAACT